TTTGAGATCGTCGGTGGATAGTCGTGGGCGGAGAATTAATTACTTAATTTCAATGCGTGTGCAAACGCGTGTGATTTCTAACGCAATACTGGAATTAGGTACTTTAATGAATTTTTTATTTGTCTGATTATCGCTATAACCTACCACACTTTAATTCCTTATTTAGATGGTCTTTTTGTTAGTTATAACTACACAGAACACAAGTTACCACCTTAAACTGGGCAAGCCATACCTATTGTAGACCTCGAATGGTATCCAGACTGCCTTGCGATTCTGTAACTCACTTTTCGAACTCACACAGCGGTTTTCGCATCGGCGGTCGCTCTCAAATCAGTCGTGAAGCAGTCATTTTATGATTTGGCATTCTGATAAACAGTAAACTACAAGCTCCAACCTTTTCAAAATGCCAAATCATAAAATGACTGCTTCACAACTGATTTGAGACCGACCGCCGATGCGAAAACCGCTGTGTGAGTTCGAAAAGTGAGTTACAGAATCGCAGGGCTGCTGTCGATCCCAGGAAGACGCTAGAGGTCACTGTTTAAGTGAATGCTTTATTAGTATACGAATGTATCTGGCGTTAATATATAGAATTAATCCAATATATATAGTAAGCTGTTATGACGTCACGATTCATTCCTTTAAAAATAATGTACGTATAAGTCCATATAGCTTGCTCTTTTTATATCTCATTTGGGCAAATTAGGTGTAATTAAGTAAAATTATGGCGGTTACAGAGTGGATTCCTTACGTGCGTGCGTTAAACGCGTTTGACCGAACCTGCGATTTCCTCGATTTTAAATAAGCATAGTGCGTGACAAGTGCGCAGACGCACACATTTTTACACACATTCTCACTTTCGTGTGATCTTATCGCGGTTCGATATTCATAATACTCGATTACGTAGGTTGATACTTAAAATTACTTAATTTATTGTATTCAGAGTATCAAGACATTTATTAATAAACTTTTATCATCGATGTTTGTAATTAATTGTAAGTTACCATTTTGTAAAAAGCTAATTATATCTAAAAGGATTTTCGTTTTGTTTGAGAGAAAGAGATTCTGTCAAATTAGATTCCGTAAAACGATTTTTAATTATTATTATTACTATGTAGGTTGAGAATATTGTACATAGTGTATATTTGTATGTTGGTTATCAATATAGGTATGTACAAATAAATAATTAAAATCTATAATAAAAAAAGGCCTAACCTAACATATACTGCCAGTTCTCAAATATAAGGCGTAGAACTAACGAGAAGAACAGGCAATACATTTTAAGGTTACGTTAGTATAAATTTATATTTCATCTTTGTAGAAACAATATAGGGTATAGTTTCTGTATTAAAAACGGCACTACGGTTGCATACATAATCGTTAATGCTCTATAAATATTTATTTGCATAGTCATGTGGTTAGCACTGGATTACTAATATCAGTACAATAAAAAACGTTATCAAGCTGTGGCCATTGGACTCAGGGCTGCCAACAATATCGCATACTATGCACAGACCTATATATAAATCCTGTAGTTTTTTTGTTTTTAACATACAAAAATACAAATCATTCCTTTAAATATGAACAAGACGATAACATATATTATATATATAGTCTATCTAATTCATTATACATCTATCGCCATCAGTAATGTAAACTTTATTAGTTTATAGATAACCCATGAAAGAGAGGATTGATATATTAGTGGGCCAATTATTGTATTAATTATTTATTTATATAATCCCGAGAATGAATCACATATATGAGTTTTTATGTAGGCTTGTGCATTCACCAAATACCTACAGTATTTAGATAATATATACACATACTTAACTCATTAACATTTACAGATTCCGAGGTACAAAAAATAGTACCTAATAACTATATTGCTTTAGGTTCTGTATAGGGATACAGTGAAATAGATAGAGTCAAGTTTTAGTAACAATTTTTTAAAACACGTTGAATAGGTCTCATAAAAAGCTAAACGTCATGTCCCCTGTCCCCCTAATAAATTTTTTACCGCTGTGTGCGTTTCCGTAATTTCCCTGCGCAGTCGCCGATCGAAATGATTGCTCACGCGTTTCGCATCACTCACCCCTGCCCCTGGGATAACGCTTAACGATTTACATATAATATAGTATGCACCACGAATATATCAATCGCTTTTTGCTGTAATGTAACGAACCTGAACATATACGGATTCTCATGAGGTAAGGGGCAAAGGTTTTTGCGAAATGATTTATGTAACTATGACCCATTAACATTTTTATTCCATGGGAATAACGGAAATCTGCTAATGAACTTTGACGAATTGTTCACTTAAAGAATATAAATAGTAGTCCAAGTAGGTATATATGTTTTGTCTAGTTTATATAGTTTCAATAAAACATGATTTCTCGAATCTTTGCCGGAGGTCGAAATATTAATATAATAATATTTGCTCTATTTGGGAAGCGTATGGGGGTACTATACGTAATATACTATGTAATATACTATGATATAAAAATGTACTTAAAAAAGATATATGGAAAGCAAAAGGCTTTCTGTTAATTTTATAAAATAACTTAATTTTATAATATTTTGAGTTGAAGTTTGGCCACACATAAGCTGTAAATAAATAAATGATAAGGAAAAAATATCAATTGCTACACGGCTTAACAAAATGTATATATTAATATATTTTTATTACGAATGATACTTATTATCGCTATATTAAAAACATATATTTATTGTCATAATTTGACATTATAAATATTAATAATACTTTTGGAAGACTCACACTATTAAAAGAAAAATTGTTTCATAGTGAGCTTTGTTTCTTGTGAATTTTGTGATCTTTAAATTCAAAACAAAGTCTTTTTTTTAACAAATCCATTTAGAGATTTTGATGACTCATTGGTCTAGTGGTTAGTACCCCTGACTGCGAATCCATGGGTCCCGGGTTCGATCCCCGGCTGAGACGAACATCGATGTGATGAGCATTTGGTGTTGTGCTTAGGTCTTGGGTGTTTAAATATGTATTTTACGTATATGTCTATCTATCTATGTATGTATATCCATTGCCTAGTACCGATAACACAAGCTTCACCAGCTTAGCATGGGACTCGGTCAATTGGTGTGAATAGAGAAGTCTTAAAAAAAAAAAAGATTTCGAGACATCTATTTTTAACACTATCGGGAACAAATTGTATGAGCTATACAATTCTGAATAAACGCTAACCTCGTAAACAATTTCAGAAAATATGAATAAAAAACAATGCGTTATTATTAACAATATGCACCACATGGCCTGGGCGTGGCGACAGCCCTATTGTTTATACCACGATTAAAACCAATTCAAATACTAACTCGCACTCAAAAATTAAGCTCGAGTGGTGCTACCGAACCCTTTGTTTTAGACACAATACGCACTTGGTTCACAAACTGTGTTCAACGTCGCTTTACATGTTTAGGGCTGATCCTTAATTCGAGCACTTTTAATTCTTATTAATGTGCAGATGTATATTATTAATTAAGATTATAATACCTTTTAATAATTTTAGACTTCTTATAGAAACTTTAAGTACTGAAGCGACTTTTTACGTCTTTTAATAGTGTCAAAAAAATAATGATAATAATAATTAGTGTTCTTTTAATGTTTTGTTCGTAACAATTGTAGCACTAATTTGATTATAATTGATATTTGCTTTATTTTTTTTTTGTAGTTCCAAGCACCGAGTTGCAACTCGAAAAATTTAATTTAGTTGGAACACCAATTTAACTACCGATTTCGAGAAGGTATTTTGAAAATGTCAAGCGCTTAGTATGGATTAAACATGGGGTGCTCGAAAGCTCTCCAGGCTGCGCCGGCGCAGACGACAGCTGAGCTTTGAGATTTTTAGTAATTACCCGTTCTATTGTGCCTTTATTAACGACGTGTATGGCGATTGCTATCACCGACTTTCCCCTTATATTACTTATATGGGAAATTAATTTGTCATGAGGACAGTTGCAGCTTACCCTAAAACAAGAGCTTAGGGCTTTTACTACAGTATTATATGAGACAAAATGCTAATATTCAATATTCACTTATAATACCACAAGAGCTTCAAAATTATCGGGTATTTCCCGATAGGTTCGTAGTCGTCAAGTTTTTCACTCGCGCGAAGCGCTCGTGATTTTTTAACCTGAAAAACTTGACTCCTTCATTTGTTTGCAGGGAACCTTGAGGGAAATGCCAGATAATTTTGAAGCTCGTGTGGTATTCGGGGGGATTATTTTTCCGACCCAAATGTCGGCCAATAGAATTGCACCATGAGACGAAATGTACAGTTAACAAATAAGAATTTCATAATGAATAAAACAACTACTTAATACTTTTCTTGAAGCAACTACCAGAGAAAATTTTCAAAAAATTATCAGTATAATACCATGTAGGTTGTACCACGTGACGTCGAATGGTGCAATTCTATTGGTCGATATTTGGGTCGGAAAAATAATCATTATTATATAATACGTGCTTACTAGCTTAGTAACGTTCTGTCTAACAATTAAATAACCTAATTGAACACATGAAAATCCCAGAGTTCCTGGCCTTGATCTGGCGAAATTACATAAATTAAATTACATAATACGTTTTTTATTATTGTATCTTTCACTGTTTACAAATATTTTAATTATTTTTCTTGGTCCGTTAGTTTAGTCATTCATTCTCACAATGGTTGCCTGGAAGGGATCGCTCGAAATCACTCCTTTTATTTATTATACATTTCCTTTTATTAATTAAAATAAAATAAAATTATATTTCTAAGTTACTTGCAATTAAGTGTTAATAAATAAATAAGCACATAGCTTTGTTCATGTTTATCTGTTTAAACTCAATATTAATATGATTTTTAATCATACTTTTCGGCAACTCATACAACGCACGTATGACAAATTACATGTAACGCTTTCACAAGGTAGAACTAATAACTTTAGCTGGAGGCGAATTGTGAAAAACAAGAATAAAAGCAGCCAAAATGCCACAACTTGTTTCGCCTACAGCTGCAAATAATCCCACACGAATAATGAGTATCCCAAAGCGAGTCGTGTTTGGTGGTAATGTAAAAAGTGGACCATAATCACGCGCAGTGTAATATTTACGCATACTTTATCGTCAATCAATAATTAATATCTGGATGCTGAGACGCTCCCGAATTTCGCCGAGAACGACGGGATTGCGTTCGGGTAATCGAACCGGCAAAAAATTAAAATGAAACAAATGCGAAATACTCCATTACGTGGACACAGGTTGCGTGGAGGGATTCTTTTTTACAAGTGATTTATGGATTCATTATATAGAGTTAAATATACAGTGTAATCTCTTTATAACGAATTTAAAGGGATCGTGCTTTTTTTTTCGTTATAGAGAGCTTTTGAGACCAAAATTGTATGGCACACACACATTATTTTTGGCACACGAGTTAATGCAATTAACAATAACAAAGGCGAGACGGCTGTTTATGACTAAATATGAATATATTTCTTTGTTATAGAGAATGGCTGTTGCGTTATAAAGAGTAAATTAAAGTATGGGTTTTGTGTTAAACCAACCAAATGTTACTAATGTTACGTTATAGGGAGTATCGTAAACGTTATAAAGACTATTTATATTGTTAAATAAAGAAACGTCCAAAGCATTCCATCTTTGGTTATATCTGTAGTATAATTATTTTTTTGTTATATATAATTTATGTTAGTAGTCCTACAGGATTTCTATATAAATAAATAAATAGTTGATAATTACAATATGAGCTACAAATCATTGAAAATTGTTTAAATTAAAAAATAAATTTCATACTTAAATCATAATATTAAACATGTATTTATGTATATTTAAAGATTTTATTATTAAAAACACACCCACACATCTTGAAATATGCGCATACGGTTTCATGAGAATCATATTTATATATTCTCAGGAAAAACCTCTTCGAACGCATCTCCACACCACTCCTGTTCGTTCAGGCTCACATTACGTATGCAGGGCGCGGCGGGCCGTGGGCAACGTCAGCTATTTGCTTCTGACCAGAGGGCTAAGCCATTCAAGGCTAAGGCGCGGGGCAAGTTTTTGGTTAACTTGATCCACTCAGCACTCAACTTTCATTCCCAGAAAACAGATTGATCGACAATGCATTTCCTTAAAAATGAACCCAAACTGGAGCAATGGTCAGTTTTTACTTGGTCGTTTAAGGCGGCAAAAAACTTAATGAGTATTTTAAATTTTTCATTGATAGTATCTGATATTGATAGTATGAGACGCCTGTGTAATTAGTAGTGCCTTAATTCGGTTCAGAAATGAAGTTGAAAATACTTTTTAAAATTACATTTTTTTTGGGGTCCTAGCGCTTTAAGGCTTTTTAAAGAAATTTCAAAAAGGTTAGTCGACATCACAGGAGACCGAAGATCTGGCAGCTACCTCGGACAAAGAATTAGTCTAGCAATTCAAAGGGGGAACGCTGCCAGTATCTTCGGAACCTTGCCTAAAGGGACTCCTTTTAATGATATATTTTAGTTTATGTTAAGTTTAGTTATTTATTTCAATGTATATTATTTTATTATTATATAAGTGATATTTTAAAGTAGCACTTCAATCATATGTTAATTGACAACCTTGACAAATTTGATTTTTTGTGAATATGTGAGCACAATGTATCTACATAATAATTTAATTATTGCATTTTTTTATAACACCCTGCACCTACTTTATTTAAGTATAGTTTTTATATTCTAGGAACACGGTCTTCACATATAATTATCAAATCAATGTATACAAAATATTGTAAAAACTATTTCAAAAAGAGTTTGTATGGAGTTTCTTGCCCATTCTTCTCCATGTGAAACTCCCTTTTAGTTAGGGCAACGAGTCATTTTTTTTTATATATGTTTAACATGTATTTTGAATTTGAAAAGTGACTTTTTAATAAATTGTAATAAATGATTTTACTTTGACTTAGCTAAACCCTTTGATTAACTAAATCTAGTATAGTGTTGTGAATATATATACGTAGGTACGTTATCTCAGACACATGAACATATTTCCATTATAGAACACTGAGATAGTTAATCAACATTATCTCTAAGTTATTTATTGGTATTGTAGCAAATTAAGTCAATATAATATTAATTATTAGCCATATTGTATATATAGTCATAGTTAGAAATATATAAGTAGATTCTGTTTCAAATTTTAATAAAACATTAATCAGTAAATATCCATTCTTAGTAACCCCACATATAGTAAAATATAATTAATTGAATTCAACATATATTTGTTTGCATACTCTGTGCTCATATCCTATTAACACAATCTGTAACAAACGCGCGTCCATTATTAATTGCACTCAGGCACTGAGATTATCCTTATTAGAACACCGCAAAGCTTTCCTTACGTACCGACACGTCTTAATTTAAGCAATATCGGATTACTTAATGTATTGTCGGCAGTCTTGGGAAAGTTTAGACTTAGACAAAGATGTCCATGATCGCTTTTCCAATAAATGCTTGGTTTGCTAGTTTATTTAAGATATTTTGAAAATATTAATAAATATCTGGTCCTAACGGTGATCCTTGGATAAGATGGATAAAAAAATTCATACACACGAGAGAAATAAATCTAAGCAATTATTTAGGAAAAATTAACTAATTATTATAAGCACAAATAGATGAATTTTTGTCACTTTCTTCAAATGTCAATATAAAGGTCCGTAAACCTATGTATATACAGTATATATATTCAGCAAATATGTTCTCGTTTTAGTTAGTCCTAGCTGTGGGATATTTTAGAGTCTTTTAAAAAGATTATTTTATTTAAAAATAATATTACAATAAATTCAATAAAATTTTGTTTTATATTAGACTCCTGAAACCTGAAGTAGTTGTAACATTCATGTTTTCATCTTCTTGATTATCAATTTTTTTTTATCAATACTTATTATAAAACGTTATTAAACATTGCAAAAGAAAAATCTTATTAAGGACAGAACTTGTGGATTAGGTAAGTAATAGAAAAACGTAACTATTTCTAAATGTGTTACGAAAGTTAATTTAAAAGTGTAATTGACATTTGACAACTTGCGGACACAATCGCCTTGTCATATGATAGAACTCTTTCTTAATAAAACCTTGATCACGTTGAAAAATTGAGAATTCAATAATTCTAAATTAATCGCTTGCGTAGATCTATAGAATGAATAAAAATTATTTGCTGGTGGTTTGTCTCACTTGCCCGAGAATGGCTTAACCGATTTGGCTAATTATGACCTTAAAATATTTGTGGAAACACAAATAATAAGTGAAGAAAAATACTAAAAACGACAATTTAATTTTCCAATAAAAACTGTTCCTAGCTCAGAAATATTTGATGTCTTTTTAGAAATAAAAAAATATCACTTGGTGGTAAATATTTATAGTCTTTAGAAATTTGTGTTTCATAGCTGTAGTGAGGTCCAATCTGTTTGGTCTGTTTTAAAAAAAATGTATTAAGTTTTGATACAAATGTAGGTGTGCTGTTTGAAATAAACTTATTTTTACTCGCATTTCAAGTCTTAATTATCAAAAAGTGTAAATGTGAGAGTGTAAAAAACTTGTGTCAAAATCATCATCAAACATCATGAATGTAAAACTCAAGAATTTATCGAAAGTAATGAAAATGAAAAAAAAAAATCTCTTCTGATATACTTTTTTAAGGGTAAATATTTTAAAGGCAAGTATGTTACCTCTGTAACGTGAGTACACTGCGTTCACTGCGTCGTTCGCGGTAATTGCTGCCCGCGCGCAGATTATCAGAAGCAAGTGCGTTCGATAAGGCAAGCTCACGAATGCGTGTTATTAAATTTATTCCTTTTTCGCCGGAATCTGCATAATAAGGGGGGCAAAAACACAGGTAACCGCTAGATTGCGAGACCCTAAAGAAATGCTTTTGTTTTGCATATACTCAATGAATATTTAGTGAGATTTAATATGCCTAACACAGATTAATTTGTCACAGTGATAAATCAATGAATATCTTTATAGTCTTGTCTACGGCCGAAGTAATTTATGAATTTTCTATTTGTGTCAATTAGTAAACTTTTTGTTACCATTATTATAAATATATTTGAGATACGGACTTTTTTATATAAGATAATAATTTACAATAGAAAAAAATATTCATATTATTACATTTATCGCCCACGTTGCGCGAATCCTCTCACGTAGGAAATTAAAGAGGCCTTCTCTTGTAATTCATAACTCATTAAGGTCATGAAAGTATCGAATAATTGGCTTCGATTGGCAGTTGTTTTTGTCTCGAATAAGCTTTAAGAACTCTGGCTTAAGGGATAGCATAAGCCAGTAATTTATATTTATGAAAGTTTTGTTTTTTAAGTATTTGCTGTTCCCACGAATGCCTTGATAAACATTGGTCTAAGTAGAAATAGAAAATGTTTTAAAACTTTTATTTTGATTAGTTATGTTATATATTGAGCAATGTTGGCCAGTGGCTTCAGCGTGGGACTCTCATCCCTGAGGTCGTACTTTCGACTTTCTTTCTATATGCGCATTTAACATTCGCTCGAACGGTGATGTGTTCGTAAGGAACCGGCTTGCCTTAGACCCAAAAAGTCGCTGATCACCTACTTGCCTATAATATTGACAAATGATTGAAGTCTGAGGCCCAGACCCAAAAAGGTTGTAGTGACATTGATTTATTTATTTTTTAATTATTATATGTGTCTATTGGTACATATATTGTTAAATGGGTTAGTTAAATTTCAGGCTTAGGTGTTATGTTAATATTGATAATTATATAACACGTAAAGTTAAGATTAATTTATAAATTGTTGTAAATTTCCATAATTGTTTAAAACGTTTAAGGTTACTTGAGAATTTTAACATGTCCTTACAAGAAACAGATCGTTATCTTACATATACAAATACAGAGGGCATTATTCTTGATATTCAGACCTCATTAAGTATTATACTTTCAAAATTTGTCTCAGGTGCTCGTGAGAAATGTGCTCTGTAACAGGATCAGAGGTAAAAACGCATCGCGCGTGTCAGCAGCCGTCCAGCCAGTATCCGTAAATTATGGTTAGTTTTTGGCGTCGCCCGCGCAATGCAGCCTCACAGCTTTTCATCTCCCCCCGTAACTACCTCACCCGGTCACAGACCCCGCGTCAATCTCGAATTATCCCGCACTCATTTTATTAATTTCCCCAAAAAACGCAATGAAGATCTCATCTTCGCCGGGAGGCTTCTGCTGCGTTTTGACAAATCGATAAAGCGATGTCGATTTGTTGAGGCGTGCCGCTCATTGTAACGCCAAAATTAATCTCGGGGTTTAGCTACGTCACAAAGGCTGCGTGCCGGCGCGTACGGTGGCTATTACGGACAAGTTATAATTACCTTTTTAAATAGTTTTTTTTTCATTCTCCATATTAAAACGTCAATGTAAATAACTTGTTAGCCGCAATCTCATTTCTGGCCGATTGGATATTACAATAGTGTACGTGATTTGAGAAAGGTAACGGTGTCGCCGCTTTATCCGCGAGATGGAGCTCATTATTGGGGCGCGTGTACAAGGCTATGAAATAGTCGATATCGATTTGTTAATCGAAAATGAAGTGTAGTTTAAAATAAGTATATAACAATTTAGATCGAGCATAACACAATTCGTGTGAATGGCTTATCGCACAATTCTTAATAAAATTTTGTTTTTAATAAAAAAATGCATGTAAGAATCATCGAATCTCGATTGTAGTACGTGTGTAATTGCACGGATTTATCTATTACCAACCGTCATCAGTTTTTGTGGTCGGCACGCGCTGACTTTCTATATACCATCTGGATGTAATTTGAGTGGTTTTTTGCGCCCAAATTATCTTAGTCATCGTCACGGGATAGCGATGATTGGTTTATATTGATATCATAGATTTGTTCAATCTGTGAAGGTTGTCTACAAATCATCAAGTAATTAATGATTAAATTACAATCACTATTGTGGATCATAGAAGTTAAGGATTTCAAAAATCTCCAATTATCTAAAAGGCCGGTAACGCACTCGCGAGCCATCTGGCTGAGCGACTTTCGAGAAGGTATAACTTATGTAAATTTCCTATAAAGTATATTTTTATCGAACTTTCG